TCTAAACGATTCCTTATGTCCAAAAACCGTATAATAGCATTTTAAATAATTCAAATATCTCTTGTGATAGTGGAGATATGAGACATTATATATTTATGGCGGCCATCTTGGATTTTTGCATATTTAACCTATTTCCGCAACAGTAATTTCTTAGGACTTTTAGTATGTTATTCAGGACACTTCATAGAAGACCTCTGTGCCAAAATAAATTCTGTTGCATTTTTTTCCATTTCAAAAGTTAGTTTGCCTGGACTAATAGGGCAGCGACCATCACGCAGTCTCCGGTAAGAGGAAGCGAGGATATAGAACGCCAAGCAAAAACAGCAGGGAGTGACAACACACTTCAGCTGAGTCTTGCATGCGACATGAAGATGCCAGGAACAGCTTCAATGCCAGTAGTGTTTGGTCGTGTAGGTGAGAAGATGGTTACTGTGCTACGAGATTCAGGATGTGATGGTGTAGGAATAAGAAGAAGTCGTGTCGATCCTCAGCTGATTACAGACAGACTTAAGACATACTACTTAGCAGATCGGTCACCACTGAAATGTCCTCTTGCCAAAGTTCAGATAGACACACCTTACTTCAAAGGACTGACGGAAGCCTTTATCCTGAATTCACCTCTGTATGACGTGATTGTTGGGAACGTCAAGGACGCCCGTCCAGTAGACAGTCCAAATGAAGATTGTGATGTAGTGGATTCATTACAAGCTGTAGAGACGAGAGCACAGCTAAAGAAGAAACAGCAGCCGTATAAACCACTTCGTGTACCAGAATGTATAAAGGACATAGGAGATGTAGAAGAGTTGAAAAAGGAATAGCGAGATGATACATCGTTGGAAAAGTTCAGGGAACTAGCGACAAAAGAAGATCTCTGTGCAAGAGCTGATGGCGGGAAATCTGCTATATTCTACCACAAAGGAATTTTGTATAGGAAGTTTCAGCATCCAAAAGTGGCAAGCGGGAAAGTTCATCGACAGTTGATCGTCGCTAAAAAGTATCGTCAGGCGGTTATGAAGCTTGCACATGAACCAATGATGGCAGGACATTTGGCAGCGAAGCGGACCTCAAGTCGGATTCTTGCTGAATTCTTCTGGCCAGGAATTCAAGGAGATGTAGTCCGTTTCTGTCGTTCGTGCGATGTATGCCAACGGACATTTCCGAAGGGGATGGTGCCGAAAGCACCTTTAGGAAACATGCCAGTCATTGATGCACCTTTCACGCGGATAGCTGTCGACCTAGTAGGACCTCTTGAACCGGTTACAGATCGAGGGAACCGCTATATATTAACAGTGGTTGATTATGCAACAAGATATCCAGAAGCGGTGCCACTGAAAGGAATTGAGACGGAACGAGTGGCCGAGGCTCTCGTAGATATCTTTAGCCGTGTCGGTGTTCCAGCAGAGATGCTAACGGATCAAGGCGCACAGTTTACCTCAGGACTCATGAAGGAAGTTAACCGTTTATTATCGATCCGTCAGCTGACGACTACTCCGTACCACCCACAGTGCAATGGCTTAGTCGAGCGATTTAACGGCACTCTAAAGCAGATGCTGAAGAAGATGTGCACTAAGAAGCCAAAGGATTGGGGTAGGTATGTAAATGCTCTTTTGTTTGCATATCGGGAAGTGCCTCAAGCGAGTTTAGGTTTTTCACCCTTTGAGCTGTTGTATGGCAGAGTGGTCCGTGGGCCCATGATGATTCTTAAGGAATTACTAACCAAGGAATTTCCTGACGATGACGTCAAGACAACCTATCAATACGTGATGGATTTGCGAGAACGAATGGAGGAGACCTGTCAAGTTGCTAGTGATCGGATGAAGGATGCTAAAAGAATCCAGAAGAAACATTTTAACAAGAAAGCAAAGGCAAGAGAGCTAAAGCCTGGTGACAAAGTGTTTGTTCTACTCCCTACGAAGGCGAACAAGTTGCTTATGCAATGGAGAGGGCCATACGATGTTGTAGAGAGAGTGGGTGCAGTGGATTATCGAGTTAACAGAGATGGCAAGATAAAGATACTGCATATAAATTTGCTGAAGAAGTATGAAGAAGCTGAAAAACTGATCAGAGACGAAGTTGGAGGTGTGCTCGCTTGTGTGATGACAACAGTGGTGTCTGATGCGGAAGAAGAACTTCAGCAGGATATGGACTTTCCTAGCAGGTTGGAGTCTCTTCCAGGTGATAGAGGAAAGGAACATGTAGGTGATGTGGAAATTGCAACCAACTTGACAGATGAACAGATTACAGAAGTTACAGAGTTGATGAACAGTTATGAGGATGTGTTGACTGATCTTCCGGGAAGAACCAATCTTGCGCAACATGAAATCAACACCACAACGAAAGATCCTGTTCATTTCAAGCCGTATCCTTTACCTTACAACATGAAGGAAGTAATCAAGGAAGGAGTTGAGAAAATGATTGAGATGGACGTGATAGAGCCGTCATCGTCACCGTATTCGGCGCCAGTCGTTTTAGTAAAGAAGAAAGATGGATCGAACCGGTTTTGCATCGACTTCAGAAGGCTAAACCGTGTCACGATCTTCGACGCTGAGCCGATGCCAAATACAGACGATATCTTCTCAAGGCTAGCAGGTGCAAAATACTTCTCGAAGCTTGATTTGAGCAAAGGGTACTGGCAGGGGCCAATGTCAACAGGAGCCAAACCGATGACCGCGTTCGCTACACCCCAAGGGTTGTATCAGTTCAAAGTGATGCCATTCGGGCTAGTGAATGCGCCCGCGACTTTCAGTCGTCTGATGAGGAAGTTGCTACTAGGAATGGATCATATCGATAACTTTATCGATGACATTCTGATATACACAGATATCTGGGAGAAACACATGGAAGTCATTAACGAGTTACTCTCGAGACTCCGAGCTGCATGTCTAACGGCACGACCTAGCAAGTGCTCAATTGGATTTTGGAGCTTGTCTTGTTTAGGAAACATTGTAGGAGCGGGGAGACTTCAACTAGAGGAATCGAATGTGGTTGCCATCGACAATACACCAAGGCCAGAGACAAAGAAGCAGGTGAGGTCATTTTTAGGACTAGCGGGATTCTACAGGCGCTTTATACCAAACTTTGCAGCTATTGCTGTACCTCTCACGGATTTAACAAAGAAGGGGAATCCCAATAAAGATAGATGGGAGGACGTACACACACGAGCCTTTGCCACTCTAAAGAAGATGTTGACAGCAAAACCAGTTCTCAAACTGCCAGATTTGAAGGAAGAATTCATTCTTCGTACAGACGCTTCAGACACGGGATTAGGGGCCGTTCTGTTACAGGAGGAAAGTGGAGAGAAGATGCCTATTGCTTATGCCAGTAGGAAGCTTCTAGCCAGAGAGAAACATTACGCTATAATCGAGAAGGAATGCTTAGCAATTGTATGGGGAGGGCAGAAGTTCGAACCGTACATCTACGGAAGAGAATTTATCCTGGAGACGGATCACCAGCCTCTTACCTACTTGCATCGTTCCAAGACAGCAAACGCAAGGCTTATGCGCTGGGCGTTACTCTTGCAACCCTACCGATTGAAGATTCGAGCTATCAAGGGCATCGACAATGTCGGAGCTGACTACTTAAGCCGTATCTAGTTAATACATGCTCCATGGATTTACATAAAGTGTGACCACTTTCTTCGGAAGCGGGGGGATTTGTCACGTCCGCATGTATTGGTAAGTATTGTAATACCGTTATGACCGTTAGGCGGAAGCTAGGTATCACGGGCGGAAATAGGTAAGCGCGGGAGAGACGACGTACTATACAGGTAGAGCTAGTGTTGGTTTATCGTCTCTGTACACCCGATGGAATTATAGGATATTCCAGTGTGAATATGAGCACAGAAGACAGTCTGTGGTGAGTATCTTATATCTCTCTTCTATTTCTGTAATTATATCTCGGGTATCGTTGCGTTACACCTGCATTTTATCGGTCAATCCTTCTGTTTATCGGTGCGGTCCACTCATGCGTGACGTTTGGTGTTATTGTGTTACAATGTTCTACACTGTTTAATAATGGTTTTTGACATTTATTATGTCAAGTTTCCAATAGCAGACGTATAGTAAATGCATACATAAGTAGTCAGATGTATTTGTATATTGTAAATATCAGTTTGATCACTGTTGACGTGTATCGGTTCGATAAGAAAATGTATGGAAGCACTGATCCATTGGTACATTGTATTAGCTTCTAGTCTACTGTGCGACTGTGCGCGTGTAAAATGTATGGAAGTCGGGAGTGGAAATAGAGTACGTATTTGAGATTTCGTGATGTATAAGTTATTTGTGGACCTGCACATTAGTTTAGATCATTTATAATAATTTCATTAACATTATGTAATGGTAAAACTATTATTTGATTGACATTAACTATTTTGAATATTTTGATACACTTGTATGTATAGTAATAAGTTGTATGAGAGAGTGATGTGTTCTATATTTGTATATTAATATATTTTAGCTTCACATGACGGGGAACCAGTCATTGTGGGTGACCACACAGAGCTTATAGTATGGCATCGTACTAGCAAGAAGCAACGGGACCGACCAGAATGCTACCTATTCAACGGGGTCAAGGTCAGCTTCTCAGAAGATGATGTCTGGCTGACCAGGTCAAGGCCATCAACCAGGACTGAAGAGTCAGCGTCTCAACGAGAGACATAAAACCTTATCCAGTCATTGGGGGTTTGTGATGTGTATGTCTTGCGGGACATTACCTTTGTACGGACGCAAAGGTGTGTTAGCGTCATTGAGCTAACATGTATCACCGTTGGTGATCTGATCAGTATTATACTGCATTGTAGCTACGCTATTTGATACTTCGGAACAGACTGTGTCTACGTTAGGTCATCTGTGCCGTCAAGGAGTGAAGCTCTCAGAGACTGTAGTTTTATTAGTTATCTGTTAGATAGTGCGTGTGAATGTGAGAGTGTGATTTGGTTTTGATATATTCTGGTTGTAAATAAATTAGATACTCTTTAAACTATTTCTATTTGTTATCATTAGCCACAGTACACAACGGACGCTAGTCCAACCTTATACCGTTCACGGCAAAGCATACCGGTGTCTCGCACAACTTCGCAAGGCAACCCCTAAAGAATATATTAATACTCTATGGACCCGCTTTTTATTCTCATTTATCGATTTGTTTGCGGAAACATTTCCAATACAAAATCAAATAAAACACCAGCATACAAGGTTGGGGGAGGTATAATTAGAGGAAACCGCGCGTGTTCTGAGGTGAATCACATTCTCTAGCATGGTTAAACAATCTGTGATTTCGACGTGAAAGTGAAGCGCAAGATTTAAAGGTAAGAACTTTAATTCTGCGAAGAAATTGTATCTAATTTCCAATGGAATAGAATCTATAGCAAAATGTTCGTTTTGAGAAAGGAATACCTCAGCCAGGCGTCAGCATCGTGACGATATAGAAAACAGGTACGGTATTCCCCTACTTATGGTTTCTACTATACTGACTCCTTTAGCAAATCTGAGACATCTTCATATTAAAAACTTTGTTGATTCTGTGAAACTCAGTTGGATAAAAAGATTATATCAGTCCTCAGGAAAGTGGAATACTATTTTAGTGAAATTGGTTGACTTATATAAACTACTTAATATTGGAGGAGATTATATAAAAGAGTGTCAAAAAATATGTAATAATAATTTATGGAAAGATGTTTTTGGGGCTTGGCATAGGCTAGGAATGTCAGAATATATGAAAGCTCTCAAAGGGAAATCACTCTTGCAAACTCCCATATGGCACAACCATACTATAACTATTGGAGACAAATCAGTCTATTATTCACAGTGGTATGAAAAGGGTGTATATTGCATAGGGGACTTTATAAAGGGTTTTAATACTTTAACTCTCTTTTCGTATAATGAATTTATTCAAAGATACAACATAAATACTGTAACGGTCTTCGCCCCTGGCTCAACCCTTTACATGGAGAGCACGACTATTCTAAACTGTTACTAAATGCTTATGACAAGCCCCCAGGAAATTATATGGTATTTCCAAACCAAGTACCTAATGACTGACTAGTTCTAAGTAACTAAAGAAGAACCAGAAAGCATAAGATAAGTTTACGCACACCTTTACGGTTACCGTTTATTAAGGAACCCAACATCAAATTACACAGATACCTGCAGATACAACAATTCTACAGACTCTCCAAATTCTCTCATAAATATGATGTACAATAAAGGTAGAACTATGTCTGAACCCTGGATACCAGAACTTTCTGATATATGTAGGGGACAAAACAAGTCTATTTATCCCTACTGTAGTTTAGCTAATAACAGAAATGAACCAAGTGCCAATGAATGAATACTATAAAATCCCAACTCTATATGAATTAATATAGGATTAGCAAATGGATAAAATATAGATCTAGAATTATTCTGATCACTAGGCTCTATGAATCAATGATTCTAAAGTCAAACTCTATTGTCTGAAACACCAAAAGTACCACCAAAAGTACGCTAGAAAGACAAAGTTAAATTATCTTCCATAAATGTTAATATTACTAAAATCTCCCGTCCATCCCCATATTCTATTCTACGAGTTGCTTCCCTTATCCTACAAACCAAGCATACTGACAGCTCCACGGTTTTGGAACGATCCAAAAGTGTAGTAGCCGCCAGCAGCTCAAAACCAACCTTCCCCTCAGAATATACGATCGCAACTGATTTCCCAACGCCCCAAGGAATCTCTACGCCCCTGGTAAGAACGCTAACATCAACGGGGCAACGCACGAGCTCAACGGGGCAACACCCGTTCCCCAGCGGACTCCGAAGAGGTAACGGCGCCACACCCGTTGCTCGCAACGTAGTACCCGTTGAACCCAAATAAAATACGACGATCTACATTGGCACTTGTATGAAAAATACTTCACAAATCAACATTAATATATAGTATTTCATAGTATCCACATCTACAACTCTTTCGTACCGTTATTCACTCTCTGACTCGCAATCCAATACTTCCAACGCATCCCATATTTCCATCGAATCCCATATATCCAATACTTTCAATACACAACGGAATAAACACTCAAGTGACCCCGACTGACACAGTTCAAGAGGTCACGAGAGTTCACAAAATGGCGACGTCCATACACACTAGCAGGGTATACGTTCTCTGCAAAAACATTACATTTCTCACTCTCTCCATACGGTTCTTACCCTGGACTAAAGATTAACCAAGATAATCAAGGTATTTACATCTGAATAATAACCATACTGAACACTGGAAAACACTTAAATAAGAGTAAATACCGTTTGAATGGACATTGTGTTTAAAAACATGTGTTTGACAACTCCAAGATATTTACAACATTTAATCTACTGTCACACTGGTGGCACTACAGTCAGTGGCTATTATTGAACAATTCAGGGAAATATCATACTTCATGACAAACAATCCAGTAAAATACCACATTTTTACAATACTAATTTTCTGAAATTTTATGGATTACTGTCAGCTATTAGGAAATGTTTAGAAAATTACGAATTCAGGGACTATACTTTTAACCGCCCTGTAATACCAGTGAATATTGCACTATTTTTAAAGACAACTAGGGGTTCAAAAGTTGTTTATGATATGCTAAATAATAAAAGAAATCTCATAGCTAAAGGTAGAGAAAAATGGGTGAACTCTTTGACTTTAATGATGATGACTGGGTCAGAATATACTTGTTGCCTTTCCAAGTTACTAAAAATTCGAAACTTCAGTGGTTACAGTATAGAATAATCCATCATATTTTAACAACAAATTAATTTCTTTTCAAAGCACATATAGTAGTCAGTCCACTCTGTAACCTTTGTAATATTGAAAGAGAAATCATTGAACACTTGCTCTGGGAATGTGAAGAGGTACAGAATTTAGTACAAAACTTAGATAGCCTGTTGGAAGCACTATATATTCCTTTTACAGTTAATAAACAAACTCTACTATTTGATAAGATTAATAATAATAACAATCCTTGTCATAAAGTGGATAATGAAATTGTTTTAATCATAAAGCAGTACATTTACAAAACAAGATGTTTACATCAGACACTGAATGTCAATGCATTGATTTATGCCATTATGGATCATTTTAGTGTGCAGAAATATATCATTAGAACTAAGGGGGATGTGGCATGTTGTTCGCGCATTCACATTCCCAGAACAGGTGGACAAAGAACTATACAGCATATTTCTGAGTATTCTTTCCTATTTTTTGTTTTTGTTTTAATGTGTTTTTAACTCTATTCAACTCTATTGACCTTATATATATATATATATAGAATAAAAACAAATTTTTCAGATCGTCCGCTAGGCCTTTCTGCCTTCTAGGGCTTATATATATATATATGGGTCAAATAAGTAATACAGACGGTATGTACATGTAACTGTTCTGTTTCACTGTGTCTTGAAAAAGGAGCGGATCGCTCCGAAAATTTGACAACCTAAACTTGTCCACACTGTTGGAATTACTTATTTGCCCCATAAATATATATATATCACCAGTCCCAGAAAAACTCAGCTCACTTATTACATCATATTTTCTAGTATTCCTCATTTGCAATCATACCGTCCATTCTCTTTCTCTTTTCTCCCCCACCCCCGTCTCGTTGAGCGAATGCCTGAGTATATTTTTTTATTGGTAATTTAATTAAGGACATGGAATAACTCACTTTGAAGCTGTGTATGAACATGTGAATTGATGTATACAACAACTAAGTGAGGGATTTTAAATGTGCGTAAAATGTTTGTAAATCTGGAATGATGATGATGATATCATTATGAATTAATGATGAGGATGATGATATGATGATGATGATAATAATATGTTGATGAAGATGCATATAGAATGATGATTGAAGATTATGATTGAAGATGATGATTGTATGATGATGGTGATGATAGTATGATGATGATGATATGATGATGATGATAATTTTATGTTGATGATGATACATATGAAATGATGATTGAAGATTAGGGATGATGATGATGATGACGATGATGATGATGATGAGGAGGAGGATGTTTTGTTGATGAAGATACATATGGAACGACGATTGTATGATGATGATAAAGATTATATGACAATGATGATAATGATAATGAGGATGATGATAGATGATGGCAATGATGATGATTGAATAATTATATATCAAAGAGGATGATGACGATGATAAAGATGAATGATGATGATGATGACGATGATGATGATGATGATGATGATGATGATGACGATGATGATGATGATGATGATGATGATGATGTTGATGATGATGATGCTGATATTGTTGATGCTGATGCTGATGATTCTGATGTTGATGATGATGATATTATGATGACAATGAAATGATTATGATTATGCTAAATCCATGTCCGTGTGTGTATATGTGAGAATGCGTGAATGTCCTGTTTTTGAATATAGATATATAATGAAAAACTTGGAAAAATAAAACCATTACAAAAAAAAAGTCTGAGACATCTGAGAAACTTTAGGCTGGACCATCCTGTTACTGAGGAGGACATTCTCTGTTTTTCCATACGGACCATTCGGAGTTACCATAATGTATAGACTATATCATAAGAATCTGTCTTAAGAAATGTATAATTCTAATATAAATACTATTAAAGGAACTGGAGTGGCAGGCATT